CAGTCCCTCGAGGGCCTGTCAGACAAGCAGATCGAGGATACCGTTTCAGGGCTGGTGAGCAAGGCGTGAATCGCTGTTTGACGAGAAATGTATATATAAAAGGGTAGAGAGGGGAGGGCTTCGTCGGCAGTGCTTCGAGTATGCTTGAATGAAGGGATCATCAGACATATCAAATGGCGCAACGGTATATGCGCTACGGCGTATGAGTCCAGACGGATAGACGAAAACTACATACATATTCCCATGCGGGCTCAAAAAAAAGTGTCCGTGTATCAACATCAAGCTTATGGCTAAGAGGCGACACCACGCGATATCCCGTCTTCAAGCAGCCAAGCAACAAGTCTGAACACAAGTGATATCGTTTCCCTACATATAGAACTAAGAATGGCCCCCATAACCCTCCAAATACAAGCTATCACTATGGCTTAGAAGAGGTTTTCATGATAAAGAAAAGTGAAAAGCAGATGCTACTTGTTAAAAAATGTCCCCCAGAACCTCCCTCGAGAGATCCATATCCTTACTGCAGAGTCGCAGATCTCATCCTGGACGCGGGCAACGCAGGCCAATCCTCAGCCTCAAGGTTGGCTTGATATTGTCCATCCTCTCTCCTTGGAGACGTCGAGCTCGACTTAAGCAGGTTCTTATTTTCTCCCTGATGCCGACGCCTGTCATTGAATCCCTCACGCCGGTTCACAGGAGGGTTATTCTCCTGTTGCTTGATGGACACCTCAGTGTTGCCCTCAATTCCTGCAAAATCTCGGTTCAAGCGTTCTCTGAGCTGAGGCGCTTTTGTCGGCGAGTTGTGTGCCGTCACTGGTCTCTGCACGAGCTTGGCCTTGGAGGGCGATGGAGGCTTATCAAGAGAATCCGTTCCTGGCCGAGACGAGGTTGCTCTCGAATTGTTGGGAGAGGCTTGGGTGCCCAGTACTGCTGTGGCCCCCTTGCGCGGAGATTCGAATGCTATTGCCAGCGGATTCAAGCGACTCTTCCTGGAAGCATCCGGTGCTTCTGCCTTGGTTGTAGAGCTGATTGTGCTTGCGCCTTTGCTGTCAGTAGTAAGCATCTGGCCGCCAACTGCCTGTTTGGACGGAGACAGCATCGGCCTGCCGCCTGTCGATGGCTCGAATGTCCTCGAGTTGATGGAAGGGTATTTGTTCTTGCGCTTCTTCGGAACCTTCAGAGACCCTCCCGCATTCTGCCTGAAGTCTAGTCCACCACGCGGCAGGGTATCGTAGTGGTACTGACCCCTGAGGCTCGTCATTCCCTGTCCCCTAGCATCCTTGAGCGGCTCGGAGGAAAACTTGTCAAGTCTTTCTGTTTCATACATGGAACGGGGAAAGGATTCGGAAGATGCGGTGGTTGGTGTGAGTGTGTCGTGATCAGCTTCGAGTCTCATCTCCAGAGGTATGGTGTTGATGTCCAAGTCAGACGGAGGCCGCCCCTGGCTGTCATCGTCTTTCTGCGATGCAGTCAACGGCGCTGGGGTCAGGCGCTTCTTGGACTTTTTGTTCTTGTTCCATTTCCCCTTGGGCTTGCCTTGGTGATTCGCCGCGGCGGTGCCAGTAAAAGGTGGCTCCGTTCCTAGGCCAATGCCTGTGTCCTCCACCAGCTCTGATGCCCATGATGATGACGCGGGTGACTTCAGCGCGGAATCAAAAGCATCCTCTCCATTCATTCCTTTGGCATTTGGTAACTCCAGTGAGAGATCCTTGGGTACTGGCCTCTGTTCAAGTATGGAGTACTCCTCGTTCATAGGGCGCTGATTTTTCTCTCTACCCGAGGCCTCGGGTCCTTCCGTCGAACGCCCCGATTCTTGGTGCTTCGCGCTCAACGTCTCAAGTGGCTCATTATGGACCTTCTCCCCAGCAAAGGATGCAGAGTATCCCTTGTTCTCCATCTCATTAAACGCAGGAGTTTGTGGCGTAGCGGGTTGGCTGGAGCTGACATTCGACCCTGGTTTCTTGGATTTCCGTGGATCCAATGGCATAGGAATCCTATTCCAGGCCTGCTTGCGTTCTCGTATCTCTTCTTCTGTGAAAATACTGGAGGCTCGCATATGGTTACCCATGTTGACAGGCTCAGTGCGACTCTCGGCTGATTCGGGTACAGGTGCTGGCAAATCTGCCACCGCCTTGGGAGCAGCAGCGTGTACCTCCTTCAAGCTGCTCTTCAAGGGCTTGCCTCCCTTGCCACTGCTTGTCTTGCCTTGCACCTCTATGTCGTTGAAATGGGCATGCAAATGCGGACTGTCCGTCTTCTCAGGCGCGGGATCTTCTGGAACCCGTCTCTCCTGACCCTTTGACGTAGGACTGCCATTTCCTACACTTGAATGAGGAGCAACGGATGGCTCTGATTTGGATATTTCTTTCGCGGCGGTAGCCCTTGGCTTTAGAGGACCATTTGATAGAGCAACCCGAGCCTTCCCTGGCAATGAGCAGCTGTCATCTTCACTTGGTGGGATCGCGCCCATGCAAGCACTGGCCTCTCGGCCAACAATAGCATTCAGCGGGGACCTTGGCCGCGCAGCAACGTCCCTCTTCTTTTTCTTCTTGGTTTGCCCGGATGGCTCACTCTGATGAGAAGCGTGCTCAGGTTTGGAGGGATTCTCGTCCTCCCCAGAGGCCGCCTGGTCATGAGTGGCAGTGGAGTCCAAGGCCTGGTTTGAATGATCTTTCCGTGGCGAGAAACTCTTGGGCTCAATTCTGGGCACTGTAGTGTCCTCGTTCACACACTCTCTCGATGCAGTGGCTTGAGGCAGGACTTCGGCACTTTTCGGGCTTGATGAAGTGGCGGACTGTTCTCTTTCTGTCGAATGCGTAGGCGATGGTGCAAACGAGGGACCAGGAGCTACCGTCTGTCCAAGACCAAGATTCGTGCTTGACGGGGCTTTTTCCACCCACGCAGGCTGTTGGTGTGTAACTGGCACCGGTGGCAGCGGCCTCGCTTGCTGATAGTGCAGGTTCTTCATCCACTTTGACCGAAATACTGGCCGAATGAGCAGCCTGATATTCTTCTCCGGCATCAGACCTCCCCCAAACGCGAGAGCGAGAGAAACCGATGCTTCTGTCACGAATCTGCTAAAGGTCAGTAGGAGTTCAGCCGCGTTGCAATTGGGGACAAGATCGTACCTCACGATGAATGCATCTCTGGTCAGTGACGTGGTTTGGCAGACCTCCTCCACTTGGCCAAATTTACTACTCAAGCCAAACTTGAGAAATGCTTGTATCTCCATCTTTTGCAAACGAGAGTCATGGGTAACGCTAACCCAGACACTCCTGTTGCGTTCGGCGCAGCCACTGCAAGTGCAATGGATGTAGTCCATACCATTTAAGCCCACGGGATTGCGGCACCAGGTGTTCTGTCGAACGTCATCCTGTTGAGTACTCCGTCGCCAGGGTTTGTTCAAGGAGGATTCGTGCGGCATGACGTGATGTTCGGCTTGGGCTTGCTGGCCCAGATTGAAACCATGGGTTTTCTGGCCCTGAGATCCCCGACGTTGCCCTGCCTTATGATGAATACGGCTGTTGTTGTACCCATTTTGCGACGAGGCGGTTGAAGAACCATGGTAAGATTCAAGTCGAGCCGAATGGGGATGTTGACTGTTCTCGTCGGTGCTACTGGCAGGAGGGTTGCGCAACTTGACAGAGGAGACAACACCCGAGTGCGTTCCATTAGCAAACTGTTGATGCGGCGCGCCTTGAGAGGCTCCCGAAAAGTCTCTGTAAGGCGCAGGATGCGGTTGTTGCTTATTTGCAGCAGAGTATAGTTGCTCTCTATGGTGCGAAAACCCATTCGCCGATACAAGGTGCGGCGGGATGAAGCCTTTATCTGGCTGCATATAGAAAGGTGTCGGCTCCGTTGATGACTTGATAGGAAGTCCGGCCCTCGGCCTGCTGAAGCCATTCGACAAATTCTCCGCATAGTATCTTGCATCTTGCGTCGACCTTCGATATCTCTGGGAGGAATGAAGTGGCTTGATAGCTGCAGGATCATGCATAGGCCCATCTGGACCGTGACTTTGCCAGTTCTCAAGTCTCGCTGCCTCATGCAAGGGAAATTGGCCGTCACCTCCTGAATAGATTCTACCTTCGGGTTGTCGAGCTGTTGCTGAGTGCTAGTCAGGTCGCTCAAAGGATCGAGGTTGGTAGAAGTGATTATTAGTGGACGGCAACATTGCCCTATCGTCGTATGGCTGGCTCATGCCTTTGAAACCTTGCTCAATACGCTCCGAGTCGGCAACCTCTCTTGTGAGCTTGTCCCTCATGGTCTCAACGCCGGGATTCTTGGCAGATGAAGAATGACTCGGAGATGACTTGCCACGATTTGCTAGACATGCTGATTCGGAACTCCGTCTGATCTCTGCATCGGCGGCGAGTCTATTGCCAGGGCATAGCAAGGCCTCGTTACGTCGTGGTTTCACATCGGAGCCAGCCACTGGAGATGATGTCTCTGGCATCGATGCAGTTCTCCGAGGGTCGTTCTGACTCTTGATTTCGCTCACTTTCTTCTGGTCTGCTTTCTCGACGGGCGTTTGCAGTTGCTTCGGCATATTGCTACCATTGACGATGACGACGCCTAGCTTAGCAGCTTCAGCCGGTCGGAAGATCGCAGCGCCTGTGACAGACTTCTGCAAAGCTTGCAGAGCCTCAGTGGGCCTAGTAGGTGGCTCAGGGAGCGGCAAGGATTGTTGCGGAAGATAGTAGTGCTTCCCGTTTTCCACGATGCAGGGAGCAGGCCCATTCAGCGAGGACGAGTCGCGGTGAGGCTCAGACATGGGAGGAGCCGGCAACCCATTGTTGTCGAAAACTTGCTGTCCAGCTGAAGGTAAAGGATTAGCATTTATAGCCACAAAAAGTCATAACTAAGTAACTTACTGAGCCAGTTTTCGATGTTGTTGGTGCAACATGCTGTAACCAGCTCTGCAGGCTCTTCGACTTGCGCTGCCTCCCTGCCGGAAAGGAGAAAGTCCCGGCGACTCTTCAACGCGCTCGCTATCAGCGGCACCACGTCATCCTGTATCAAGCCCAGGGATTCGTGGTCTTGGTCGTCAAGAATGCGGAAGACGGGACCATGAGACTCTTCCCAACGGATCAGTTTCTCCTTGTTCTCCTCCTTGTTCAGCCAATCATCCGCCCAATGGCCGATATGAGCAGCGATTTCCCGGTTCACATCCACAGAAATGAGCTTGTTCTCATCCCAGATCGTATTGATAACGTTCCA